AGCTTGATGGAGAGCACACTCCAACATGGGTTTGTTTTGGAAAATAACAGTTCAGCTGCATGAATTGGAAAGAAAATCACAGAAAGGAGAAAGTATTTCACCACAGTATGTATATACCTCAATCCTTGTTCCGTACCTGCCCTCCATGGTTTTCTTTCATGTCATACACCAAGTTACACATTGAAGTTTGGATACCAGGGAATCCAGTCCCACAGCTGCAGGAGATTTTTGCCTGGTATGGATGCTTTGATGCACTGCACCACCTTGCTCTGAGCCCCTTGTCTCAGTAGGCACATGAGTAGAAGCTAGCTCTAGAGACTGACTTCCTTGGTCCTGTGGAAGGTTGGGATATGTAGAATCCCAGATTGGTTTGGGTTGGAAGGGACCTTAAAGCTCATCCAGCTCCAAACCCCTACCATGGGCAGGGACACCTTTCACTAGAGCAGGTTGCTCCAAGCCCCATCCAACCTGGCCTTGAACACTGCCAGGGATGGGGCAGCCACAGCTTCTCTGGGCACCCTGTGCCAGGGCCTCAGCACCCTCACAGGGAAAAATTTATTCCTTATATCCAACCTAAATCTCTCCTGTTTAAGTCTGAACCCATTGCCCCCTGTCCTATCACTACAGTCCCTGATGCAGAGTCCCTCTCCACCATCACTGTAGGCCCCCTTCAGATACTGGAGCTGCTCTAAGGTCTCCCCTTCAGGAGCCTTCTCTTCTCCAGGCTGCCCCAGCCCAGCTCTCTCAGCCTGGCTCCAGAGCAGAGCTGCTCCAGCCCTCGCAGCATCTCCGTGGCCTCCTCTGGACTCCCTCCAACAGCTCCACGTCCTTCTTGTGCTGCTGCCCCAGAGCTGGGCACAGGACTGCAGGGGGGGTCTCCCCACAGTGCAGTGGAGGGGCAGAATCCCCTCCCTAACCTGCTGCTCACACTGGGGATGCAGCCCCGCACATCGGGGGGATCTGGGCTCAAGTGCACACTGAAGCTGGGTCATGGGGAGCTTCTCATCACCCAACACCCCAAGTCCTCCTCAGGGCTGCTCCATCCTTCCCTGTCCACCCTGGGGATTTCTGCTGGGGACTGCGCCGACCCAGGTGTAGGACCTCACACCTGCACATGTTGAACACATGAGGCTCTCGTGGTCCCACCTCTTCAGCCGTCCCATGCCCCCCTGGATCTTATCCCTTCCCTCCAGTGTATCGACCACAATACACAGCTTAGTATCCCCACAGACATGCTGAGCGTGCTCGATCCCACCGGCCATGTCCCCGACAGGAGCCCTTTGGCTCCTTCCCCAGGTCCTGGAGGAGGGTGCGATTCGGAGCCTCCCCAAAGCCCCGGGAACGGAGATGCTGCGGCAGGGCCGGGCCGGGGAAGGGGACTGGTCCCCTGGGGTCGCCGAGGGCGAGAGCGGAGGCGGGCGCTGAGGCGCTCCAGTGCCGCGGACATGCCGCCCGCCCGGCGCTCCGCCGGGTCCGCCCCTCCCGTCGGAAGCGGCGGTTGCCGGGCACCGCGCCGGCGCCGGGCCTGGCCCTCGGCTACCGGACCCGCTGCAGGCCCCGCCGCAAGCCGCGGCCTCCCCGGCCTGGCGTAAGGCCCGTCCTTGTACCCGCGGCCGGGAGAACTGCTCCTTGGCCTCCCTCGGTGAGTGCTCGGGAGCCCCCGTGCCCCCGCCGGCGCTGTTCCCCGGGTGGCAGCGGGACCTCGGGCCGGCAGAGGCGGGGGGCAGTGCGGAGGCGGGGCTGGGGCCGCCGTGCCCCTTCCGAAGGCAGCCGGGCTGGAGCTTGCAGCCCCTGTACAGTGTCGCTGCACCCGCCTGGGGGAAACGCTGGGGCCTCCTGGCTGGTTCTGCTCCCTTGTGTCGCGTTTCTTGCAGCGCTTCCCCGGGCAACCCCTTCCCAGGGGATGCAGCCCAGGAAGGGTTTTGCAGGGATATGCGGTGGTGTTCAAGTGGGGTCTTGGATGTTGGTACGGGCCCCAAAACAGGGTTCGTATTGATTCCCCATGACGGCACAGCCAGAGCAGGCTGTAGGGTGCAGCACGAGGTCGACTTTCCATTGCTGGATGCAGTGTTGCACATGAGCTCCTGTAATCTCAGCACCTCCTTGCATCAAAGGACCCCACGGGTTAGGGTGGGGCCTCTCCTGCATCATCATCCTTTCTGGCTCTGGGAGAGGACTGGCAGGGCTCAAGGCCAGGTTGGACAGGGCTTGGAGCAGCCTAGTCTAGTGGAAGGTGTCCCTGCCCGTGGCAGGGGGTTGGAGCTGGGTGCGCTTTATGGTCCCTTCTAATGCAAGCCAGTCTGGGATTCTGTGATTCTCTGACTTTGCTGCGCTTCTGCAGTGCCTTTGCCCACCATCCAGTGCAGAGTGTGGCCGTCATTCCAGGCTGCTCCTTGAGCAGACAGTGCAAGCTGCCTCTGTTCCTAAAGGACTACTGGTGGACATGTGCCTAGCTCCCAAGGAACATGTTCCACATGCAGATGCCAGTATCACACTTGGCCATACCTGTCCCTCTTTGTCTTTAGAGAGACAGAAGAGAAAAGGGGGCTTTGTGACTGGCAGGTGGGGAAGTTCCTGAGGGAACCTGTATGATGAATACCATTAAAAGGAGAATATTAATCTCTCCCATTGTAGTCTGCAAGGGGAAAGCATAAGCATGGGCTAACATCACAGGGTAAATTCACAGCGCATTGACCTAATTTCCTGATCCCTGATTCTGCAGGAGCTATGGTCCCAGATATGTGTGCCCACCTGTTTTGGTGCAGTCCTCGAGCACAGAGTTCTGCTGGTGCTACTTCTCATTTCAACTAAAACTACTGAGGGAGAGAGCAGACAAGATCAGCTGCATGGAGATTAGCTTTTTGATATTCTGCAGATGACTTGCTCTGCTTATCACAGTTTATCACAGCTGTGGGATTTTTTCCCCCGTGTTTTTTGCAGAGATTGGCTTACAAAGGCATGAAGCGGGGCTTGCTTCAGCTCTGTGAGTGGTAGCAAATTCCTGGCCAGGGACTCAGGCACAGTGGAAATGTGGTCTGTGAAGAAGAGGGAATGCTTCAAAAGCAGATGCAGCAGGTTCCAGGCTGAGAAAAAAAACTGCCAAAGCCTTGTCCCTTTCCATGTTTTGTAGTTTCCTTAACTACAGTGCCAAAAACAAGGCACAAAAGGAAGCTGTGGTTCGTACAGGTGCCGAAAGATCTCAGTTTACCTGGGGGATAAGTACCATTTCTGCCACTTGGTGAGTTGGGGCAGAGGGCACAAAGAGTTGAATTAATGGGGCACTCTGGGAGGGGTAGGGCTGGATTCTGCTTTGCTTGACTCCTAGGCCAGGGTTAAATGGTGGTGGGGAAGTGGGCACAGCGGCACTCAGGTCGGTGAGTGAAGCAATGCTGAAGTTGTTAGGTTACTGTGGCAACTGCCCTGCACCTCTTGAGGCTGTGTGAGGCAGGGAGCAGGGTTGGTGCAGCCCTGTGGCTAGGAGGCTGCTCTGATTGTGAGTTCTGCAGTCTGCAAGGGCGATAAGAAGAGAGAGGAGGCAAACATGTACCTGTGTCTTTGCCAGGATTTAACCCCTCTGTCTGCATCTCAGCCTACCAGTGCTCTAAGTAGTTTCTTTCTGGTGGCAACAGATCAGATACTGTATTCTTAATGCTTAAGTTTCTAAGGTGGTGATAGAGAAGATGCCTTCCTGGGTGCAAATTTAAGTGTGGCTGAGACAGTGATCAGATCACTGCTGGAAGGGGCTGACCCTGGTCCCTCTTCCTTTCTCCTCTGAGTTCATAAGCACATGCTCCTACCGTGTTTCTCCTGCGCTTGCTCCATTGTCCCTCTGATCCCTCTGTGGACGTTACAGCGAGGTTGCTTTCGGACAGAAGGTTAAATGGAGAGAAAACTAACCCAGAAAAAGAAGTGTTGAATCAACTGAGCGCAGGACCATTTGCACTACAAGGCTGTCACAAGAGATGAAGCAGAAGGATGGGAATAGCAGCAGAGAGTGTCCACACATAACCTTTTGGCAGAAGTGAGCTATGAGAAGTATCCTCAAATACTCCCATGACTGGTAGGAGTAAAGCAGCAGCTTGGGAAGGCTGTTCTCATCATTGGTAGCTGAGCCTTGGCTGCTCCTCGGGGCTAGGAGACTGATACAAGGGGCTTGTGTCCCACGCAGGTGAGTGCACTGCTGGTACCTAGATAGGCAAGATGCTTATCATTGTAGTAAGGTTCTCTGATCTTGCAAGATCCCAATCCAGAGTTGATGTGATTTGCAAATCAGGGAGTGGGTGTCATTTGCAAATTCCCTGCAGCAGGGCAGGATGCTGTTGGGACGTGCAATGTGATTATGTGACTTGTCTGAAGGTATAGAATGAGCTTTCCGTCCCCCGCCGCCCATCAGCTTGCCTTTCCTCCTTCAATCCCCCACAACAATTGCCTGCTCTGGTAACAGGTCATGATTTCAGCCTGTCATTTTGTGTGTAAATTGCTGGGTTTGAACATGAGTTCAGACCAAGATCAGACGTGAACTTCAAGGCCAGTAGCTGTTCTGGAGGGACCTCATGTTACATGGTGGTGGTGTTGTTTTCTGGAGTACAAGAGCCTCTACTTAAGTACTTGCTCAGTACTGACAACAGTCAGTAAGCCTGAGTTTAGTGGGATCCATTATCAAGGAGATTAAATAGTATCAAACCCCATGTCATTTTACCTTAGGCTGAGGGTCTGTGTTTGCTCTTCAGAAACAGCTTTTCCAGAGCAGCTGGGTACAGACTGTACCTGCGTGCTGGCATGCAGTCATCAACATTGCTTACCTTGCCTCTGCAATTGTATCTGAGAGATGAATAACAGATTTTCAGTAATGGGTCTCATGTCAACAGGGGTGATTTAGCAAGCAAGACTGCAGTGCATTAGTTGCCATGACTCAGACTCACCCAGCCTTGTACTGGTGGTTTCTTGGTTTCTAAATGAAATCACAGAAGCTGCATCCTGGTGATGCTGCTGTGTTGAGATCCTGAAGAGGGTTCTTCCTGTCGATGTCCCTCAGAAATCTTTAAGTTACTGCCTGAGGAGTCAGGGCATGCAGGTTTAGCCCCAGCTCTTACAGCAGTGACTCCAGCCAAGCTGCCCTGGTGTGTGTCAAAATCATGGCATGACTCTGAGGAGGGATTGAGGCTTTTACGGCACCTGCCAAAAGCTCACCAGTGGTCTGTGTCTGTTCCTGTGTCATCTTGCATCCTCGTTTTCTGAGCAGGCAGGAAGTCCCTCAAGCTTCACACAGGCAATAGAATGCTGTCCATGAGATCTTCATGAGTGATGCTAGCCACTGCTGTGCTGGGAGGATCTGTGCTTCTGTGGTTGTGGGGAGGAGAGAGACAGCAGGGACCAGGGCAGGGATCTGTGGATCTGTGCTTGTCCAGCAGTTAATGTTGAAAAGTTCTTTAGTAATGAAAAAGATGTTTTCTAAACAGGTAACTCTGGTCTCCCTAGACCAGCTGGACTCCTTTAATCTTGGGGCTCTTGCCCAGAAATTCAACATCTGCCCCTACATGGTCCTGCAGTCAAATGTTTTTTCTCAGGTCCTTTTGAGATTCAGCCCCAGCCTGCTCAAGGGTGGTGACAGCGCTGGTGTGTGTCTTGTGGAGGATAGAGCAGAGAGTTTACCTGTGTGGGGTACGAGCTTCAGCTCACTTTGTGTATGTTGTGTTTGAACCACAGGAGCTATTTAGAAAGAGCCTAAGGAACAAGATAGTTCAAATCTAAGGCTAAAATGTCTCAGACGGTATCCAGCTACCCTGTGTTTCACTAAAGGCACAAAGGGCAGTTATAGCAGCTCAGGTCTTGCTTGCATGTCTGCAATGAATGTTCCTCTATGGAAGAGCAGAGCCAGGAAGGATTTTCTGTACTGCAGATACCAATACCACAGGAACTGTAGACATTTCAGGTTTGATGCTGGTAAAAATGCTGATTAGCCCCACAACAGGGACAGTACTGCTGGATCCCTTGCTTCACCTCCATAGAGTCCAATTTGGGGTGATTTGTGGTTTCCTACCTGCAGTTTATCTCTGTAGGTGAGTGCAAGCTCTCTAATGAAGGTCAGAAGCTCACATATATATATACATATATATAAATGTGGATTTTCGGTGACTCAGTGAGCCCTGTTCATTGCTGTTCTCAGTGGTGGCTGGTTCCTGTGGAGGAGGCAGAGCCACAGCAGGATGTGTGAAGGGCCATCCAGGATTTGTGGACCCATTCCTCCAGACCCTACACTCTTTCCAGACTATTACAAACGCCCCTTCTCAGGTGAGTCCTTGCTGCTTGTTAGGGATGTATGCTTTTGTACTGTGGCTTGGCACAGCTTGCCCGTTCGATGTCCTTACTCTTTGACATCCTCAACAGTCTCCACTCACTCTGGTGCAGGTGCTGGCTCATGGATAGTGATCCTAAAGGTGGTGTGTACAGCTGGTCAAAAGATTGGAAAGCATAAGGTAGAGGTGGATAAGGGGTTTTCAGCATTGTTTGTAGGCTGTGGGTGAAGAAAAACAGCAGGCAAGATGGTTTCCTGATAATTTCTTTTTCTTTCTCTGTAGCTCGAGGGAGGCTGGAAGGGAATGCTCTGAAGCTGGGTTTTAGCTCTGACCCTCTGGATCCAGTTCCTAACCCATACAGTGCCCGCCAAGTCCAACCAGCCCCTCGCATTCGCCCCAGTGGAAAGGATTTCCTGGAGAAGGGACGGAAGGGGACGCTTAGTCTCTTATTGCAGCTTGAAGGGCTCTCCCTTGATGGGAGGCTGCCAGTTGAGAGTAAGTACAGCTGAGCTGCTGCTGGCCTGAGCTGCGTTTGGTGCCAGGGATGAAGCATCAGGGTTTTGGCTGGATTCCTCAGCTCTGCTTCCTGAGGAGAGCTTGAGATTTGCAGTTCCAGTCACTCCATCTCCTGCATTTGGCCTGGCAGTTGTGTCCCTGGACCATCACCGGTGTGGGACCCACTGCTCCTGTGACCTTCCTGATTCCAGTCTGGCCCAGGTCTGGAATGGGAAGGGAGACTGTAGAAAAGAAGGTGTTTAATTTGTATTTGAGGAACTAGCCATGGATGAGAGGCTATTGAGAGGTGCTGGAAACAAATAAAGCCCTTCTAGTTTGCTGTTTCTGAATACAACCAGTACCTTTACAGTCAAACTTAAAAATGGATTGGGTGAAATCTTAATGAATAGAGGGTGTTCAATCTGGGGAATTCCTTGTTAGTGAACAAATCCAGGCAGGATTTGGGAAGACTGTGTGTGTGGATACTGGAAATACCTGCAAAACATGTTCTCTTCTCCAGGGGGATCACCCAGAGTACATTCAGAAGTCCAGAAAGGAGATAAGGCTGAGCACTGGGTGTCTGATTTACTTCATATGTTGGAATTGCCCCTGCCTGGTGCCAGTGTGGTGGCTGCCAGCTGAACTGCTGTGCCAGAGCAAGAGAGGAATGAGGGTCTGGTTGTGTCAGCTGAGATCTTCCCCATTTTGGAGAGCCCAAAGGATTGTTTTTGATTCAAAATCAACAAATACAGTCCGTAGTCTTGCTTATGTGCCCTTGGATGTGGGACAACAGCTGACCCTGAAACCAGGAAGAGTGCCAGTTTAAGGCTCTGCAGCTCCATTAACCATTCAGAAACACCATGGATGCTGAACTGGGAATTGACCTTGCTCTCAAGAGGATGCTGGTATGGCTTGTTCAAATGGGACATAGTCCATAGTCCCAAATGGGACAAGTGAGCCACAGCCTCTCAGAACAAGGGAGTCTGTGAACACCAGTAATGTGCACAGACTTCTGACAGTGCTCAGCTGGGCACTGTGGCATCCTCTGGCAGAAGAGGGTCAATCCTGGAGTGTGCATCTGACATGGGGAAGAATGCACAGCTTGTCTAGTCTGCAGAGAAGGGGAGAGCTTGCTATTGTATGGGTGGTTAGACCAGCTTTGGAGACAGAGCTGTGGGCTCTGGTGCCAGCGCTCCAAAAGCCTGAATCCCTGGGTAGTGTCTGAGGGGTGAAGGCTATGTCTCCCCTTGCTGTGCAGGGAAAGAGTCCAAGGATCATGAGAAAGAAAATGTAAGGAGGATAAAAGAGATTCAGAAGAAGTACAAAGAGAAGGAGCAAGCACAGGAGCACAGCAAGCCCAAGCCTGTGAAAGCTCTCTGGAAATCCCAGAAATATGAAAACGTGGAGTCAAAGGTGAAGGCCAAACTCCAGGTCAGTACCCACTCAGCTCTTGAGCTATCTGGGCCTGGGGTGCAGTTCAGCCCTGAGGCTCCGTGGGAAAGTGGACGTGGGGGTGTCCCAGAACCACTGGATCTGGGGCAACTCAGTGATGAAGCATGGAGGACAAATGTGACAGAGGGGCTGTGTGCTGAGCAAGAATGTGGCGTCTGGCTCCAGAGAGTGATTGCTGTAATAATCCATGTCCTGTCCAGCCCAGAAGATCTCTCATGCAGGAGAAGCTGAGAGGGGGAAAATGTCATCACACCCTCTGCCTGCAGGCTCCTGCTTGGCCTCCTGGGGATATACAGGCTTCCACTCACAGCTATATTCCCAATCTAAAGGTGTATCCAGCTGTCTTTTCAGCTTCCTGGTGTTTGGGGCAACACTTGTCTGGGGTTAGTGCCAAAGGGCTGTGGTATTCTGTCCCATGGATCATGGTCCTCGGAGGTTTGTCTTCAGGCTGCATCAAACCTCAGTCCAACTCTTACCACCCTGTGGACACACAGCGGGCTGTATGTCTCCAGATTCTTCTCCGAGTGATTGTTATGGTGAATAACCTGTGTGCCATGGGGGCACACAGCATCTCCAGGCAATCAGGGTGGAGTTCTTACAGATGAGCACAACTGCAGGGGTGTATGTACCTCCTGTGCTTGTGACGAGAAGGGCTGTGGGGCCGGGCCTTGTTTCCTCAGGCTTTCTCAGCTGCTGAAATGAGCAAATGTGTGGCCTTGTGAAGGTTTTGGGTTGGTGTTTGCCTCTTTTTCTTTATCTGGGTCATTTTTCCTCCCGTGGTGGGTTCCTGGTGTTTAAATGGTGCCTCTGTCAGAAGGCTTTGCTAAATGCGCTAAAGACACTGCCTTGGTAGAGTTGTACCTGTTTGCACAGAAACGAAAGTGAAGGCCATGGTGGAGGGAAGGAAAGCTCCATCACTATCTTTGGGTGAATCTGTTGTCATAAGTCTGGAAGCCCCTGTGGTCCAGGTGACTTCTTGTATTCCGTTAGCCTCTTCTTTCGTCCAGAAATAAGCACTGTAGCTCTTACAGATGGGGTTGGCTCCTGCTGCACAGCAGCAAGCAGAGGAGTGCTGTGCCACCCCCATCATAGTGACCTCCTGGAGAAGAGGCTCCAGGGCTCCCTTCTGGCTCAGCCTCACATGGGAGAAGCTACTTGAGCAAGTGGCAGTGCAAGGCTCCTGCCTTGGCCAGTGTAACCTTGAACTGTTAGAGCCTGCATTCCCATCAGCCTCGGAAGAGGGCTTTGTCCTTCAAGTCCCTGGTAGCCTTCATGGTCTCCATCTCTCTTCTTTTTGCAGCCCACCAGGCTGTGTGGACAGGAGTGACACAGGGAGCTGCTGCTTGTGCAGACAGTGGGTGCAAGCTGGGTGACACCTCAAGCACTGCCACTTACACAACCCTTCCCTTGGTACTCCCTTGATGAGTTGGAACATCCAAGTTCCTCCTCATCTCTGCATTGCTTCACCCTGGTCCAAAGCAGCCCTCCATCCAACTTTTGACAGTAAAATTATGTGTACTGCTAACAACTGCAAAAATTGGCAAGATGACTTCCAAGCCAATGGTTCCGAATGCTGTGTCCCTTCTTCCCGGTGACACCAACCTCCGTGAGGTCTGTGACCTTTCCACACACGGGAACAAACCCACATGTGCTTTAGGAACACAAGCCTACGCTCTTGTTTGACAAATCCTCTGGGTTAGAGGAAGATTGAGATAATTCTTCTTTTGTTCTGGGGAAGGGGGTGGTCTCTGTGCAGGCAGTTTCTGCGTGGTGTGTTCCTTGTGCTCCAGAGAGAGGTGGCGTGAAGCCCTGGTGCTGACTCATGTTGCTTTAACTATTACTGTGGCTCTCCTGGAGCTGGGGTGTTCCCCTTTGAAGGATCTCCATCTCCTGTGGAGCTGCTGATGCTCAGAGTTTAAATTCAATCTGTTAGAGTGCTTCTTTAATAGAAGAAGGCTTACAGGCTTGACTTAGCAAGCCTGGGTCTGGATTTATGGGCTGCTGCAGTTTGGAGACCTTGATAAGACCCTCTCTTAACAACAGTAATTGACTAATTCCTTCTAAGTATGCATCCCATTTCTGAACTGTGGCCTTTTGAGCTACTCCCTGAGGAGGAGGTGATCCATCAAGGATTGGATTCAGAAGGGGAAGAGGACCGTTTACTATAACAGCTTGAGATGTGGGTAGTTTCTCTGCTTCCTTAATGGCTTTAGTAAGGCACAGGACCCCTTGTCCTCAATCTGAGTAGCACTCTTCAGTTTCTTTAAATGAGGTAGGAGAAAACAGTAGAGGCCTGGCTGGTCCTTGTGGTCCCTTTTGGAACACACCACACAAGAAGCGTGGGGGCAAATCCCCACTCCACTGTTAATGGATCCTGTGGTGCAGTGGGCCTGGTTCCTGATAGTCTTTGAGTTCATCTTTCAGAGGATTAAGGGTTTCTCTAAGTTGTGGAGTCTAGTCACAGTCCTGATTTTTCCAAAGCAGGTTGTATAGTGGGAAAGCAATTACCAAAACCCCTGATGCATGTTTTCACCAATAACGTCATGTGCCTAACAACTATTGTTATTCTGTTTTATTGCCCAAGGTTTGTCCTTCTTGATGCTTGAGAGGTTATCATCAGGTACTGCAACAGCTCCTGCTATCCACCAGACCCCTAAGAATTTAACTTCTTGTCTGGAACCTTGGCAGTTGGAGGGTGGAATGTTTGAGGCCATTTTTATTCAATAGATTCCAGATGGCTGCAGCCCCTTGCCCCTCCCGTTCTTTATTGTCTCCATCCATTAGGATATCATCTATACATTCATATATGTGAACATCTGCTGTCACCTCCACAGGACTGAGGAGCTTGGCCAAGGCACTGTGGGCAATAATGGGGGAATATTTATACCCTTGTGGGAGTTAGTTAAAAGTATACTGCATCCCCTCCCAAGCGAAACCCAACTGGGGTTTGTCTTCTCCCCTTAGGGAAACCATAAAAAACATATCCTTAACATCTGGCGTGGCCATCCAAGGGTGGACAGTCGCCTGTCCTGCTGTCACTGCCGAGGTTAGGCTTGGGACAGCAGCAGTCAACAGTGGAGTATTGCTGTTAAGTTCGCTGGTATCAGTTGATGAACACCACTGGCCATCAGCCTTATGGACTGGCAGGACTGGAGAGTTCCGAGGGGAATATGTATGATCTGGAAAATGTCTTCTCTAGATCTTTAATCACTTTGGAGATGCCCTATTTGGCAGCAGATGCTGAGCGGCACAGGTTGCTCTAGGCTCTGATAGTGCAGCAGCAGCCTGTTAAAGCCTCACAAAAGAAGCTTCTGCTTCTCTGCATTCCAAACTCCACATCCTGCCATGAGGTAGATCACATCCCTTGCCTGCTGGTATGTCAAACCCTCATCTATTTTCCTTGTGAGGGCTCAGAGCCACTTCCACAGCTGCCATCCTTTTCTCACCAGGCAGCCAGAGTTGAGTTTGAGCTCAGGGGAATTTTTCTGCTACACCAGTTATCCCCACTGTACTTACAGCTTTCCTTGATGGGTTAATTCCTCACTTCTCCACTTGCTGCTTGGTTAAAACACTAATATGGGCCTTGAATCAGTTGAAAATCCCAGACTTAGGGGATATGTCTATGGGATCTTAGCAGCAGCCATTAGCAGTTACCACTAGGTGAGTGGGCAGCTGAACCCAAATCCCAGAGTTGTGGATTTTAACCCCTTCAGGTCTTCCCGGTGATGTACCAAAGGGTTAAGGGCACCACTGCTATTTGGGGTTGTGTCATCTTTGTGTCTGCCTGGGCTCCTGACCCTTCCTCTGTTTGGGGGGCTATCAGTGCAGCCGCACTCAGGTACAACGCAGTATCACTCCTCACCAGAGGGCATTTCTTTCTGAGCCCTGAATGGTCTATCACAGAAAGGTTCAAGATCCCAGGGGGGTCCTGCTCATCGTGCTCCATGGCTGCCCAAGTTCTCTCAGAGACTGACTGTGTCCAGGGTGTCTGGTGATCCTCTGAGGAGGACTCTCAGGTGGCCCGGACCTCCTGGAGGTCCCATACCTCTCTTGGGTGCGATCAGCCTTTGGCATTCCCTGTGGCAGCTTGGACAGTGCTTTTCCTGGGGCAGGGACAGACTCTCCTCTTGCCTGGGCTCTACATCCCCCCCCAGAACCCCTCAGTTGGTTATTGAGTGATCGCCCACCAGTCTGTGGTTCAGAACCACTCCTGGACCTCCAAACCTGCTCTTTTCTTCATCACTGCACAGCACCCCATCTTCTGTGGCACAGGCTCTCCACAGATACTCAATCTCCATTTTTGCTCAAAACCTTCCTGCGCAACTCCCTGAGCTCAGGTCCCAACCAGAAACAGTGCCCAACATGGGCCGGGGTCCTGCTGTGCAGACCCATCTGCCTGTCAGTTTTAATGAGAGCTCACATACTCATTTCCTCCAGCTCCACCACCTCTTCAAAGCTCTCATCAGCACCACCCCACCTATCTGTGGGGTCTGTGCCCATAATCAATTGGGACAACACTGGTGGGTCTTTGTGCTCATGCCAGCATAATTTCAATTCTTTGTTCCAATAAATGCTTTTGCTCTCTTTCTCTTCTAAATTCCTGTTCTGAACAGTCCATTTCCAAATAGCTAACTCCTTGCAAAACAATCCTGTGCCTCTACCAAGCCCATGCCCAGGATGGCACACGTGCTCTCTTCACCACCTCCCCCATCTCCACAGTGTTGTTCCATTCTCTCTACTCCTGGGTAAAACCACTTCTCCTTCACCCACTGTACACCCAGGGGAGAAGTGATCATCCGTGCACTTGCCACCTCTCCTCTATGGGCATCCCACTGACTACGCCGGTTTAAATGTAACAGAACCAATAAATAGAGGCTAAATGACATTGGTTGCTCAAACTCGATTCAAGCTCCACCAACATCACCTCCAGATTTGGAATGTCGCATGGATTTGTCACTACACTGCTCGTTCTTAAACTTTATGGCCAGTGATCCAAAATGTACAATCCTTCACCTGAAAAGGCAAGGCTCTTAACCTCAAGGAATCCCCCTGGATGGTGACGTGATCCAAGGGGAGAGTCTCTGACTGCAGACCTGCTGCTCCAAGGAGGAACAACTCCAACAGGCTCTCCAGCCAGGCTCATTTTATACTCTTGTCTCACCTGAGCTGTGATCAGATATGGTCATGTAGCTCCCGTGGGCTCAGGACCCAACTTCCTATTTGTCAGGGCTTTGTTGGGGTGGTTGTACCTGGTATAACTTGTTCAACTTTGAACCAGCCATGCTGTGTAAAGGCATTTCTCATTATCTTACCTGAGAGACCTGGATCCCCTCGCTCCTTCTGCAACAAGACTGATCATCTTTGGAGCCTGATCTGTCCAGGCAGTGCTGAGGGCATTGCATACCCTGGTTCTTGATACTAGAACTAGTCATTTGAGCATCCTATTCCATGTCTGCTAAACTACATGGCCAGGCAACAAGGAATCTGCCTCAAGGGGCCTGCAGTTCAGCTGAGAAAGCAGCTGGGGGCTTGGCTACCTGTGAAGATCTGGAGGCTGCCCTGTACAGTTCCTGTTGCTTCCAACAGCAGAGCAGTTCCCTGGTTGGGTTTATCGTAAGGTCACCCACTTGTCACAATCAACTTTCAGTTTTCAGGGTTTCTGTGTAACAACACTGTCTGAGATGGTCCCCATGCCTTCTGTTAGAGGTCAGGTAGTGTAACCTTGTGCCATTTGTAACCACAGCCTTTGAAGATGCCTGTCATGCTATTCCACTCTCCCCCAAACACCAGACTCCTCCACTCCCCACTCCTCTTTCTGTCTAGAGTAGCATGACCACAGATTTTGGGTGCTGAGCAGAGCAGTACTTGAGACCAGCAGCTCAGCACTTAGCTTTGTGTCTACCTGAGCCTTTTCAGTCAAGTTTGCTTGAATGGGCTCTGGATTTGTGGCACTGGGATGGCTTCAGGGAGCTCAAGTTCTCTTCTGTTGACAACAAGGGAGACTGCCTTGTGTTTCACCTTCAGCGTGCTTTCTCCACATTGCCATGTGCCCCTTTCTCAGGAAGATTTCTGCTTTTTAAGGAGTCATGATCAATGTCAATATGGACAATGGCCCTAACTCTGGTAAGTATCTCTGTTGTTACCTGGTGTTGTTTTCCTTTCATGCCTACCATTTTAGTCAGTAAAAGGACTCTCCAGTCAATGCTATGTGCATATTTGATCCAAATGTGTGGTTTGGTTGATACGCTGGAGGGAAGGAATGCCATCCAGAGGGACCTTGACACGCTTGTGAGGTGGGCTGATGCCAACCTCATGAAGTTTAACCATGCCAAGTGCAAGGTCCTACGCCTGGGTCGGAGCAATCCCAGGCACAGCTACAGGCTGGGCAGAGAAGAGATTCAGAGCAGCCCAAGGAGAAGGACTTGGGGGTGCTGGTCGATGAGAAAATGAACATGAGCCAGCTTCAGTGTGTGCTTGCAGCCCAGAAAGCAACCGTATCCTGGGCTGCATCAAAAGGAGTGTGACCAGCAGGTCAAAGGAGGTGATCCTGCCCCTGTGCTCTGCTCTCGTGAGACCTCACCTGGAGTATTGTGTGCAGTTCTGGTGTCCTCAATATAAAAAGGACATGGAACTGTTGGAACAAGTCCAGAGGAGGGCCACGAGGATGATCAGGGGACTGGAGCACCTCCCATATGAAGATTGGCTGAGAAAGTTGGGGCTGTGCAGCCTGGAGAAGAGAAGGCTGTGTGGAGACCTCACAGCAGCCTTCCAGTATCTGAAGGGGGCCTATAGGGATGCTGGGGATGGACTCTTCATTAGGGACTGTAGTGATAGGACAAGGGGTAATGGGTTAAAACTGAAACAGGGGAAGTTTAGATTGGATATAAGGAGGAAATTCTTTCCTGTGAGGGTGGTGAGGCACTGGAATGGGTTGCCCAGGGAGGTTGTGAATGCTCCATCCCTGGCGGTGTGCAAGGCCAGGTTGGGCAGAGCCTTGGGTGAGATGGTTTAGAGCGAGGTGTCCCTGCCCATGGCAGGGGGGTTGGAACTTGATGATCTTAAGGTCCTTTCCAACCCTAACTATTCTATTATATGATTCAGCAGATTTCCCCCCCCTTATTTAGTGTTCCTTTACACAGTTCAGTTGCCAGGTCTGGATTTGTTGCTGTAGGCAGCCAGTTTGGCCTTTGCTGGCTGAGTCCAGATTGACTTCCCCCACCAGCTCCTGCCAAGTCATGGCAGAAAGAGCGTGCTGTCATCTGCCTGCTGGAAACTTGTGGTTGAGCCTGTGGTTGACCTCCCAAGCTTTCTTGGATTGGTTTCTCTTTTCTCCAGCCTGCCTCCACCATTTGATCTTTTCTTGCCTCTCCCAGGAGAGCTCCCCACCTCCAAATCCAGAGGCTCTGAAATTCCTGAGGGCATATTCTCGCTGTGGTCCTGGGATCAAGCCACGCAGATCGCTGTCCCCAGGGCCTGCCAGAATGAAAACAGGAGCAGACACAGAGGATCCAGAGGCACTGGGTGCTGAAATCAAGGTGAGTTGCACACTGACTGCATCCATCCACCCCTGGCACTTAACTTTGCTCCTGTTTTGCACTTTTCATGTGTTCTTCTAAAGTGTTGAGTCAGGTATGCTGTGTGAACAGGGAGATCTGTAAATAGTCTTCCTGGCTGAAGGGAAGGAGCAGGGTCTTGGTCACTGTGTTCAAGGATTGCTAATGCTACCTCTGGCTTCACCCCTACTCATAGTTAAAGTTCCCTTTGAAAATCCCACCTCCTCACTGTACAAGTGCCATTGATCTCCAGTCTGCTCTTTGTAGGGCTTTGCAGGAGGTCTTGGGGATTTGGGGGCTGCTCCCACCGTAATCAAAGGAACGGTGGCTCCTGGATGTTAGATAAAAAATTGGGAAAATGTGTGAGCTTTTTAGAAAGGAAGGTTAAATAAGTACCAACAGTTAAACCTTTCCGGTGGTCTGTCTGGGAGATCCTAAACTGTTCTGTGACTTCTTTCTGTGGCAAGCATGGGGTTGGCAGTCTGTTGGTTCCCAAAGGCCATGGAGGGACTTAATTTAAACAGGGCATAAACTCCTAAGGAGGAAACCCAAGAAAACCTTAAACTTAAACCCAGTGATCTTTTGCCCTGTCTTGGCCACCAGACAAGCTGTGATAGCGAGTGCTGTCATCTGAGGAAATGACCCCAGGGACCAGCTAAGCTCTGCCAGGCTTCTGATGAGGGCCAGAGCAGTTTTAACTCTGACCTTCCAGCTGCCCTGACGGGCTCAGGATACACCAGTAGGAGCTGTGTGGACTACGCCAAGCCTACTTCTTTCTGTCCTTCTGACTTTGAGGGCATGGGGTCAGCCTGAGGACCTCAAAAAAGCCAGTTTTAGGCTTGGCTGTTGGTGCTTGCCGTCTCAAACCACAGTCAACAAACAGCTCTTGCCTGACTATGGCTCCACACCTGAGACGGGGTGGGCTGAGGGTGCGCCCACACCTTCTGCCCTACACCCCCAATCCGGTGTTTTGTGCAGGCGCCTCTTTGCTCTGTCCCTTGTGGGGACAGGGTTTCTGTGTGTGTGTGAGTGTGAGCCAGGCCCTGCTGCCTCCCTCTCTCTCCTTGCAGATGCGGGTGGAGGGCAGGAGCATTGACTTTGTTAAGCACAACGCCCGCAGTGCCAAGCGGGCCCTGCTGCGGCGGTCCCTGTCCGAGCAGGCGCTGGCCGAGCTGCTGCAGCAGAAGCACCGGGAGCAGGAGGACTACAACACGAAGCAAAAGGGCCATGTGCCCCAGTAGTACGTATGCCCTCTCTGCTCCATGAGTCTTTCTGGCTTTCATTCACCCTGTCCCTCAGCTTCTGCATGGAAGGGGGGCTGAGGACAGAAGTGCTCCTGGCATGGGCAAGCAGTGGGATTTACAGTGGCTGGGGAATAAAAGCAGTTCCTCCTGCTTTCTTCACAAGCATCCCATGGCCAGTGTGACTGGGCTCAGAAAGAATCTTGTCTCCTTCCTCCCTGGGTTGCTGTTGTCCGATGGTGCTGACATGGGAACGCTCTGTGCTATGAGAAGTGTGTTCCTACCCCCTGTAAGCCTTGCTCTACGTGACATAGCTTCCATATTACAAGGTCTGGTTTTGGAGAGGCACTTTGATCTGCCTTGCAGTATTCAGCCCTGGACCCAGGGTCCAAGGAACATCCAATAGTGACTTGTCTGTTGGGGTTCTGAGTGGACAGCCTCCTGGTGACCCTGTCCTGTAACTGACCATGGTGTCAGTCCTTCGGCTCCATACTGTGCATGCTGCTCTCTGCCAGCATCCCTGGCTGTGAGCAACTTTGTCCAGCTTCATTCTGTCACTGGCCTGCAGATGGTTTTGAGAGGACTCAGTAGCCTGGGCCAGAAGCAAGAAGCAGAATCCCCTGTCTCCAAAGAGCTTGTGTTGGCCTCAGTGCATCTCTTCCAGCAGTGATTCAATGCACATGGAGCATGTCTGCTGGTCCATGCCTGTCGGCTAAGCCCAGTATACCCCTTCATGGCAGGAGTGTGTGCTGGCAACATGGGTCTCTGTGGTCCTCAGGCACGGATGTTGGGTGAGGTTTGAAGGGCTCAGTTCCTGGCCTCTGCCTGCCTCCCTGGGCACCTCCTTCTGCCAGATGTAATGACACGTGCTTCCTTTGCCTCCCCTCTGCCTTGCCAGCCTGCTGGAGAGGAAGGAGCTGTGGCGCAGAGAGATGGAGGAGCGGCTGCGAAACCTGCCTGATCCCAGCATACCACCTGGTCACACCAAGATGCAAGAGGACCAGCGGCTGGAGACCCTCAGCAGCCTGAAGCAGAGTAAGAGGAAAAGAAACAGGGATTCCAGCTCAGAAAAATGGGTGATTCTAGCCAGGATTTGGGAGATGAGTTCTGGGACACAGGTTTCTGTCACTTGGGAGTTATCTGGACAAAGGCATGTAGTTGGGATGTGAGATGCATGTGTGGAAAGAGCAATTTCCTTCAGGTTGGTAAGCAGGCTTGTCCAATAGACCTGATGTTAGGGTTACTATTGCTCTTAATATGGTAGAAAGATCTTGATTGGAAGGGACCTTCAGAGGTCTGTATTCCATCCTTTGGTTCTTCAAAGATGGTGCAGGTCACTCAGGTCCTCATCCAGCAGAGCTTTCAATGGAAAGATGGGTATTGTAAGTCCGTCTTCCAGTGCTGCCATCATTTTCATGGCTGCGGTGAGGTCATGGGAAAAGGACAGATTTCTTTGCTCTTCCACTTACGCAACTTGTTTGGTTTGGTTTTGTGTTTTGCAGGCCAGGAGCAGCTGGTAAAGGAACTGGTGATGCTGCCAGTGCGGGCAGACACTCTGAGCGTGCAGAAGAGGCGGATGGAGCTGGAGAGGAAGCTCTCCCAAACAGAAGAGGCCATCAAAATTTTCTCGAGGCCCAAGGTCTTCATTAAGCTGGACGCCTGAGCTGGGGTACCAGGGGCCCATGCAGGTGCCAGTGCAGTGTCCAGTGTGCAGCCAGCGTCTCTTGCTCATGCTTCAGTGATGTGTCTGTCCACGGAAAAGGGAGGGGGAATCCCTAATATACCCTCTGTGGTCTGGAGGACAGTTGTCTCTGTGTTGCTTGACTTCTCAGAGATCAGCTCTCTGTTCTGGATCCATGGCATCACCTCTTATTTTCCCACTTTTTCCCACTTCTAGGAACTGGTAGGAGGTCTCCCATGCAGCTGCCTATGGTGTTCCTTGTCCCCCTCTCTCTCCTGAGCTGGCCCATGGTCATGGCTCATTCTGGGCACCTGCAGACTTGTCTGCACAAAACGCTGTGGAGACCTTTGCAGGGATCCTGCTGGGTGAAATGTAGACAGACTTGACCTAAAAGGGATCTCTGGAGGGCTTGGTCATGTCCTGCTCAGCAGAGGGACAGATCCACAGCTGGGGTCCTTCTCCAGCTGATTAACATCTCCAAGGACCGGGCTGCCACCAACGCCTCACTGGGGCTGTATCCAGGCAGTGCCATCCTCAGGGAAACCCTTTTTTCCTCTGAAGTGAAGTCCCATCAGAATGTCCCTCATTGCAGCTTGTGCCTGTTGCCCCATCTCCTTCGCTGAGATGGCTGCCCCAAGCAGGGGTTTGCTCCAACCTGGGGAGGGATTTTGGGGTAGGGGTGTTGTGGAGCAGGGTCCAGCCCTGCCTACAGCACCCTGGGGGGTACTGCAGTGTCCTGGGACATGAGGGGCTGACGCTGCTGCCAATGAATGAAGAAGCTTTTAGTGCTGGAGGAGGTGAAGATGCCAACCTGAAAATCGGCCCCGGTCCCATGGGGCTGCTCTCGGAGCAAATGCTGCAGCCAGGCTGAGCTGGCTGGATGAGAGTGGTGCTGGGGGCTGTGGGCACCAGCCCCATGGCACCTCCCTGCCCATAGTCTGGACTGACCAGCCCTGCTGCCTGCTCTGCTGCTCTGCTGGCCACCCAGAGTGTCACTTGGCTCAGGAGCCCTGGAGCTGCAATCCCTGCTTGCCCCGGGCAGGGCTGTGGCTTTGATGGATAGTCAAAACCTAAACATTTGGCACTGTGTCCTCAGACCCTGAGAGCTGTGGGTCCTTCTCCTCCTCACCCAGCCCCACCACATACCCTTGGCAGCAGCGCTGGCGAGGAGATGCTGTTTGTAGGCCTGGGAGAGCTTGTGCAGACCCTTGACACTGAATCAGCCCTGCAAGGTTTTGGCTATGCCAGGGTCTTGGGACAAGAGCTGCATGGGGTTTGGGGTCAGCAAAAGCAACAGGACACAGTCCCACCTTCCTGTGGAGGGGACTGGCCATGGGGCACGCTCATGCCTGTGTCTAGCATTGCCCCCAGAGCAGGGCTAGGGCACTTAGTGCCCGTGCTGAAGGACGATGCTGCAGGAGGTGTGGTGATGGGGTGAAGATGATCACCACAGATGGTGGCCAGCCATATGGCCAGGCCTGTTCCCACCAGGACAGGAGAAGTAGAAGCTGTCAGCCCCTTGGGTCCATGGGGACTCAGCAGCATCTCTCTGCTGAGGTGTTGCTCCATCCCTTCCTGTGAGCAGGTAGGTGCTGGTCTGAGGCTGGGCCAGGCCAGCAGGAAAGCAAAGGTGAAAGCCACCATCAGCTCAGCACTTTGGTGCTGGGGGAGGAATGGAAGGCTCTGGGAGCCTGCTGGGCTTGGGACTGGAGGAGGATGGAGCTGTGCCATCCAGCATTTGCTGGGGTTGAATGACAGCCGTGGTGCTGCTGCCAGCCCAAGTGCCACCAGCTCCTGTGGATGTGATCAGGGTGTCTCCTGTGTGGTGAAAGCCCTGCAGTGGAGACAAGGTGGGAGCTGGGGGGGGGGCATGGCAGGCTCACTGCCCAGAACAGCCGTGGGACAGGGATGTGCAGGTGGAGGATGTGCTCCAGCATCCCTCCACGTTTTCCAAGGTGGACCTCATTGGGGTCACCTGGCGCAGCAACAAAGCCACAACCCCAGGGCTGGGATCCCACAGCCACTGTTCCTCTCCTCCTGGGGGACCTGTGGAGCTAATTGTGGGGTTCATGCTGGTACACGATGGGATGGGCCACAGCATGGGATGGGGTGATAGGGCTGGTGGGGCTTGCACCTGCCCCATCCCCTGGCATTGAGCCTGTTTGCTGTCCTGGAGACAGCTGTGCCTCATTGGGCTGCTGGGGTCCAGCCCCTGTGGTGACATGAACCAGGGACCAGTAAGGTGCTTTCTAGAAAAGGTTTTACTGTCCATTGCAATATATTAATTCATGATGCATATCTTGATAAAACACTTTAAAAACCCCCACTTGCTTGGATGCAGGGGTGGGAGGCCGGGGGTCTCAGAGGGACAGTGCCTGGTGGCAGCAGGGCTCCCGGGGACATGGACAGCGGGCAGCCCTCCTCCACCCCTGCTCACTGGCCCCATCATTGCCACAGGGCCCACAACCAGCCTGGCTGTGTGGCTGCCACCAAGAGTGGCACCGGACCCTGTGCTGGCTGCCGAGGGTGGCACGGGGCCCTGTGGCTATAGGGTGAGGAGGGTGCCATCCTCCTGACTGCTGCCCCGGCCAGGGCTGCCGTCGTGGCTGCCAAGGGACTGGAGGGAGCCCTGGGAGCTGTGTGGTGATGGGCTCTGCTGGAGGGGCTGGTCCGCGGGGCCCCCATTGGGGCAGCCCCCGGGGATGTAGTGGGGTGCGCTGTCATTCTCAATGACCAGGTCGCCCTCCTCATCGCTCTCGGCCGTGCTGTAGTTGCTCAGGTACTGCGAGGCCGGGCTGGGGGTCTGCTGACTGGGGGTGCTGTCCGTGGACATGCCCGAGCTGCCCGAGGCCTTGCTGCTGCGGATAACGTTGTTGCGCTGGTTGGCTGGCTTGACAGTGATGATGAGGTTGTGGCTGTTGGCCACCATCATGTCCGTCACCTGGTCCAGGGACTTGCCAGCCACATCGATGCCGTTGACCTCCAGGATCTCGTCGCTCACGGCCAGCAGCCCCGTGCTCTCGGCCAAGCCGCCCTTCACCAGGCGGGAGATGAAGATCCCAGGCACCTTCTCGACGCCGTGCGGGGCCACACGCACGCTGACACCATCACGGATGTAGAAGCCCAGCGGTTTGTCAGAGCCGTGCTTGTGGAGCCTCACGCGGCGGTGAGTCTCGGGCAGGATGTCCACGTCAATGATGGAGGAGATCTGTCGGAAGTCCTGGGGCATGCCAATGAGGAGGTGGGTCTTGGTCCGATAGTGTGCAGGGCGCAGCAGCCCCTTCTTCTTTCGCTGCAAGGAGTTTGAGGCAAAGACACTGGCATCAGACTCTGCTGTAGGGAGCAAAGAGGACAAGGGTCAGGCACCACAGCCACCTGTGGGTGCAGCCACATGCCCCATGTGTTGCGGAGAAACTCCCTGCTCACGGGTCTCAACGGCTTTTCCTCCCCAGAGCATCACCCTGGCTTTCCCCACAGCCTGTCCCTGCCAGAACCATCTCCTGGGATTACCCAGCGTACACAAGGCCAGGATTAGAAGGATCTAAGCGGTGATTCAGCCTTAATCACACTTTAAGCCAAACTCTGCAGCTTAACACTAGAGCTGCCAGCCCTGATTGCTGAGGTCCCTTGGTCATGCCCCACTTTGGGTTTGGGGAGAGGGAAGCCCCCTGCACAAGGGGCTGCTGTGGTGGCAGCTCCCTAAGGAGAAGTCTGGTCCCTGAGACAGCACCAGAGTTCCTTGTCCTCTCTGGAGCAAGGCTGTCACTGGCATGGGATGGGGGTGGCCACAGCTGCATCCTGCAGAGCCCTGTCACACCCAAGGACGGAGACTCCCCCGCTCCTGGAGACTCATCCCAGGGGTCCAGGAACATCCTAAACTATGATTTGTGCCACTGCATCTTACTCCTCCATCTGGCACCACCACACAGGTTTAACTCCATCCTCCTTTACCCTGCCCTGGGGCTCTTCCGTAGAGCCTAGCTTCACATGTTGCCTGCTCAGCCACATCCAGCAGGTGCTGGGGAGCATCCTCTGAGCGCTCTCTGGTTTCTCCCCATCCCTTTCCATGTGGGAGCTCAGATCTGGATGCTTCATTGCTGGCAAGTCCCCCATGATGCCCCCCAGCAGCACGCAGACCCTGCTCCAGCTGCAGGGACCTGGGGATGCTCCCAAGCCCAGGGGATGTGGGGTTTCTCCGGAGCCAAGCAGCCTTCCAGGGCTCCTGGGTTATAAATATCTCTCTGCACACGCAACACGGCATATTTTTAGCACGGAGAAGGGCGGTGGAGGCTTTCCCACAGCTATTCCAGCACATGGCTCCTCTCTGCGGGGCGTGGGGTGGCCGGGCCAGGCAGGGCCAGCACCCCAGGGATGAGTCCTTCGGCAAATCTGGGGATGTGCTAAGCTTTCCCCTGCCTTTCCCATAGGCCCAGCCCAGCCCAGGTGGGCCAGCACCCTGTCCCCAGCAAGGCTGCCCACAGGTACCCAGCAGAGTGACAGTGCAGAGAGGAACCAAGCTGCAGCCTTTGTGTTTTACCTCGCTGAGGCAGTCCTGGCTGCCCGGAGCCCACTGGTGGGTGCACACCTACAGGCACACACGTGTGCGTGGCTGTGAGAGCGGCTCCACAGCCACATTCCTCACCGACCTGGACTGGTTCAACGACAGCCCAGCCTCGGATGACCTGGATCCATTTTAAATCAGCTGTGACTCACCCAGTGCTTGCTCCCGGCCTCTCCACACACCTCCCCTGGTGCTGTCAGCCCTGTGGCCACTGTCCTGCAGGCACTGCTGGTGCTGGGCTGTGCCGGTGCTGCCTCCTGATCACACTGTGCATGGTGCCAGGGCTCTGGCTGCCCACTGGACACAGAATGCCACTTCAGCACTGTCACCCACAGGCCTCACATGCTTTCCCAACAGCAGATTGGGTGGCTCTGGGAGCAGGAGCAA